AATCAGGAGTGGCTTATCCACGAACAACCTAGGTCTACCAATGAGGGACCGGGGTCTTTTGTTGAGAGACCGGGTCGTCATATAATGGACTGGGCCTTCGGATGAAGGACCGGGTCGTCATATAATGGACTGGGCCTTCGGATGAAGGACCGGGTCGACTTCTTCCGGTACCATTTTATTGGTACTTAAATAATGATCTCCCTATTGCTTATCCTTCAATTTATTCCCGAGTATAAACTGACGATGTACTTCATCAAGGGAGATATAAACATTGGAGCAGACGCATTCTTGAGAATGCAATATGAAACTATGCAGAGCAAGGTGACATCAATTGACGAGCTATGTGTTGTCGCAGATGAACCTCCGTGTCTAATGCATGGACCTGTAATCAGGCAACATCAAGACAAAGACCCGATAATTTAACAAATCAAGTCAGCATGTCTTTCAGGCAATTACAACCCAGATTATCAGATTGTTCCTCTTCTCGGATGTACTTTGGTGACATACTAAAAACGAGTAATTATCCCATCCACGCTCAAAGATGACTTAGTACATTAGTATCATGCAAGTCTAGGACATCCAGCTAGTAAATGGCTGTACAAGACTATGCGCCAAATTATTTACATGGAACTAATTATAGTTTCGGCTATAAGCCACTTAGTTCTAAGGATATAAGTAAACGACTACGAAGTCTACCCGTTCTACGGAACTAGGAGAAACTTCTAATCTACAAGCAATATCTTAAGGTTCATATAACCAACGCACAGAGTGCAAGAACAATCTAGACGCTTAAAGGTCCACAGAACCAACGCACGAAGTGCACAAGAGAACAAGTCCTATCGAGGCTTGTGATCTTCAACTCAAAATCAGAACTGATAAGATATTGTAAATAATCCTACTCTAAATACTCTACACTACAGTAACTACTATTATAGTAATTATAATATGTCATTGTTTGTATCTGGATATGGAATCATTCAATTATCAGTGTCTGTTGTACTTTGACTACTGTATCAATTATGACACCGATACCGATAGTATAAGGTATAACTAATACCTTATACTATCACTCATATATTTAATACCCCTTTTGAAAAATGATCGGTATTAAGAATGCATAATACATGCAATATAGAAACGTCAACCGTAATGTTCTTTCAATATTATGTTACAACCGCCGTGTAACCCCGTTACAATGTGGGTGCCATTCTGAATGATCTGCGAGAACAACCTTTCGATTGCATCAGAAGATGATTGCGTCAGATGAGGATTGCACCAGACTGCCCTACCTCATTGTTGCTTATAATCATTATTCATTCTCCATTTTTCTTGCTAAGACTCTAGCTCCGCTGCCAGCTACGGCCGGTCTGTCACAAGTCTCCACCTTAAACACACATTATATCATCATGTTGCATTGCCTGACATTTCGTTCCATTGAGACGACGAACCGCACCTTGGCGTCCGCGTCGGAATCGTACAAGAACCCACGCGTTCTAAGTTTTCCAATACTAAAAAAGTGGCCACTATTGCTTCCGTGTCCGACCAGCGGGACATGCTCTAGCACATAGGGTTAAATAAACTCGGATAGCAAATGAATTGACACAATAATAAACAGCAAAACGTATATGTATTAACGTGAGCTTCTTTAGCTTCTTCGGGAATGAGACCTCTATACATGCTGGTCAAATTTGTAACTAAAAACTCACTTTGCAGTTGGATAGATTCGTTGATTTATTTACATGCTTTGACTTAAATTCCAGAAATATGTAGCTCATTTATCTAGTTCAGCGACTGAGCAAATGGTGAACCTCATGGTGTTGCTCTTAAGACTTTACTTCTGTCAAGCACTGCGTTAGCATTTGCGGCTCCAACACCAAGAGTCACGTCAGGTAAAAAGCGTGTCGCTTTCAAAGAGCGTGGTTAGATTGACCAAAGGTGTTTATTGCCGTTCTGCATGTTGTCCAGGATACACCATGTTTATTTTTTGAGTAATACCCGGGTAGATATGTCGGGTCGACTTGACGTTCCTCTTTGTAGTTCAACAAGACAAAGTGTGTATAGATGCGATGATTGCCTTACTGCAAAAGAAGAATGAGACAGATTCAATGAATAGCAGAGATTATTTGTAGTTCTACTAGCATTCGGCTGGGCGTGAAGTGACAGAAGTTCGATTCCTACACCCCTGCAGCTTGGGTGTTTCCTTCGTTAATGTTTCCGTCTTAGCTCATTCACGAACTACATCGTTTCATCCTCAGTGCCACTTTACAGCACTAATGAATGAATAATACTTCGCAAGTCCGTTACAGAGAGTAACGCTAGGGCTAAAGCACATTAGTGAGCTGAACGTTGTCGCAAACGCTAAAACTTTAGCTGCTATTTGAATGCTGAGAAAATCACAAACATATTCGGGGGTTTGCAGGAGAGGAAATGCCGAATTGTTCAACTGGTTCGTGTAAGTTATTACTACACCTGCAACCTTCACAAAGGCTGGTGCTTTCGAGAAATACACAAAAAAATAGTTATACCCTCAGCATAGTCAGCGGATCAAACCGGACTGTATCCCTGCTGGGTGAAGTATACAGGTGCTGTCACGATGCCTTTTGTTAGCTTACTAGAAGTGAGTACGTTTATACCTATGTAACCATTCAACGACCGGAACAATTGAGTGAGGGTTTGACCATCCGATTGTAGCGGCAGGAGGCGCACCGGCTAGTAGTGTGATATATTCATAAAGTGACACGTAAGGCAGGATCAAATGAACTCGTAAGGCATTGAAATGGATCTACGATGACTACGGCTATGTCGTAGCCGTAGCCACCGGCTGGATTCCGAGTATTGTGTCACATCGCGGATATCACAAGTCAGAAAACATCGGATGTAGTATTCGGTGCAGTACCAGTAGCTCACCCTTCACTACAACTCCATGTTTCACCAGCTAAATCGTATTTTCTAGGGCGTCAATCGTTTCAGCCTTACTTCGGTGGAAGCTTCAACACCTTCCCCAAAGACTCGTATGGGACTGACGATGTAGGTCACACGCCTACTGGTTCAACAATGGACAACCTAGTTGAATGGTCAACTCCCAAGTCATTAGATAATATTGAAGCAGGATGTGCCGCATCGTCAACCTTGGTCTTCATTTGGAACGAGGAAGAAGTCAGGATCACTTTGAATTTTGCTTCGCTTTCAGCAATCCAAAGAACTTTAGCTGCAGATGGTAAAGGGCCGATTCACCGTCAACCCGTTTACGGAGTTGATTCTTACACCTTCTGACACTAACACCCTTCACGAGATTTCCAGTGCCGTCCTTGCCTGGAATCTGTCACGATATGAAGATTTCATCGAGGTCGACAAAGGTGAAATTGACCAGAATCACTGGAAACTTGTCAAAAGTCGAGACAATGCCCGAGTTTTCCAGGGAAAGACGGCAGGTCATAGTCGCCATGGAATGCCACATCATCAAACTGCTGAGGCTCTGTCGGATCTGCCATCGTTGCTCTGCGTCGGCACTGCGATTGGTGAAATGGAAGACATGATGTTCGGTGTGATAAACCCGACACTCGAGATCATGCGGATCAAGGCTTCGTATGTGGATGACGTGAGTGGCGCTGCAGTCCTTGCTAATATTGTTGACCCAACAGTAGAGAACCCGTTCAACTCCCTTGTCGTCAAGTGGATGGAAATGGATATCCCTCTCCAGTCGATGGGTATTGTGAGAAACCGCGACTATATTTACGTTGAGGCTACAGGCTTTGCGCATCTTGCTAGCGGCGAGAAAGTGGGGTATCATATCTTGCACTCGGTTGATTTCCCAGAGACACACAAACTGCCAAATCGAGTTCGTGCAAACCTGTCCATCTGCGGCTTCTTTCGCCAACTTCGACCAAATGTCAGTGACATCTTCGTGACTGGTTTGATGGATCCGGGTTATGGCATAACCCGCATGCTAGTTGTTCCTACAATGACTAACGCATTGCTGTCGACGTTGAAGTACGCTCACTGTGGCCAGATGAAGAAGTTGCAGCACACACTGGAGATGCGCTACTCAGAAGCAAAGGAATTGGGCACGCCTAACCGAGAACACGTCTGCATAACTTGCAATGCCCCAATCACGAACCGGAAATTTGGAGATTTCAGCAAGTCTGACGCAACGTGCAAACTCTGTTTCGGTTACGTGTGTCACGGCTGCAAGATCCAGAGGAAGCTGAGTTTCGTGACTCCAGATCTGTTGTTGGCTCAGAGGGGGGTCACATTTTGTGCGGTGTGTCTAAACGATGCTATCAGAGCACCTGCAGCCGATGCAGCAAGAGCTCAGATAGTAACTTTAGCTAATGGAGTGTCGAAGAATCACTCGTACAAACACTGCTCCTCAGAGACGAGCAATGTTTCTGAATACTAAAGTAGTTCTAAGTAGTTTCTTCGTGTACTTGTCTACTGTCTAACAATCTTAGCACCAAATTATTTTCTACGCGCGTGTACAGCTCACGTTTAATTATCTCTTTCATGCTGCAAAAAGGCTTAACTAGATCAATGAGGTCGACAAGTTCCCTATCATGCTCGTTGCTATATATGCATCCTGGATCTTTAGAAATGGTCTTTTCAAATGATTTAACAGGCTGTTACGTATCCAGGATAGCTTTTTCTCTCGTTTTCTACATGTACTATCTTTGTGATACGGATTAGGGCTCGTGTCTCAATAGAATGAAGCCAGAAGCTGGCAGGATTGGTGAAAATGTCTTTGTTTTGCTAATGATCGGTAACAAGAGAGGCTAAGTAAAGAGAGAGACAGACAGCCTTTTAGTGGTTGCAGGATAAGAGGTCGAGTAAAGAGAGGCGACTTTACCGTATGGGTACGTACGTATCAATCGAACCATCGCGTCGTCTTGCGATCATCATGTGTTTCGTATGTTCTCAAATTCATCCCAATTTCTTATTTTTGTTTTGACAGAGACAGTGTCTTTTCATCACTTTTCCATCGTATTGTGACGAGAAGGAAAAAGATGCTGCAGGACACAGAAAATGACAATGTATTTGAAAAGAGTCACCAAAGACCTCGTACAAGCAGTTACGAAGGAGATACAAAAAGCTTTAGAAAAACAGTCGAACTACAAGTAATTGAGCTCTCGGATGAAGATACTTTGACATCATCGTCTGCCTCAGAGAGTCAGATCGTCGTTGAACAATCCATTAACAGCCCAAATCCATTGAACGAGAAACTCAATGCGACAACATCACTACCACCACCAGCCAAGGTTTTGTTTCTTGATGGTATTCGCGGACTTGCAGCAATGCTGGTGGTTGTTCAACACACTGGGGGATTTTTTCCAAAACTCCATCTCGGCTCGGTCGCTGTGGATGCATTTTTTATTCTATCGTCATTCTTGCTTACATGGCTATTCATGAGAAAGAGCTTAAAGTTAATCGCTGAAGGTGCTAATGTCCGAACGTGGGCGTTCACACTCGTCGACTACTTGCAGAAACGATTTTTTCGGGTTTACCCGCTTTTTGCTGCGACCGTATTCGTGCTTTACTTCATGTCGCCCGAGAACCAGAGACGCTATTATGTTGGAGGTCGTGGCCCGTTTAATCTATTCAAGGCGCTTACTTTTGACTATGATCATCGTTATCACGTGTTTTGGACATTGCCGCTGGAAATTGAATACTACTTTATCATTCCAGGATTCGTGTTAGTTGCCATCGGCATGCGTCGGTATTGGTGGGTTGGAGCGTTACCGTTAATGGGGTGGATCGTGCACGAAGGATGGACATTGGTCAGGGGAAGTCACACACCTTTTATTCTCCACCTTCATACATTCATGCTGGGGTCACTGGCTGCCGTCGTGTACGTAAAACTCGATATGCTCATCAAGAAGACGGGGTTCCAGTTCCGTTGGTGGCACACGCTGCTTTTACGCGCTGTTGAGGGACTTATTATTGCCTTATTGCTGAGTGTCTGTTTCCGAGGTCTGCTCTTTGACTGGGTCATTAAGAATCCTGCACCGCCGGCCGAAGGGTTTCCTTTTTCAAGCGTCTTCATGGCATTGATTATCGTAATCGAGATCATTCATCCGTCATGTGTCTCCACTATGTTCGAGTGGAGCGTCCTTCGATATTGGGGCAAGATCAGCTTCTCGATCTATCTACTACACACATTTATCGTCGAGACTCCATCGATTTGGCACCAGCCCTACTACTTTGATCGCCTGTTTTCTCAGTTATTTTTGGTCATTGCGCTTGCAACCACGTCGTACTACCTAATTGAGTATCCGTCGCAGTTGATGGCACAGCAAATCTCTCGCTTTCTAGCTGCTCGAGAGAAGAATGGTTCGCCGAGGTTCAACTTGTTGTAGAAGCTCAACCTAAGTACTGATGTGAAGACAAGAAATTCAGAAGGTGGATGTAAGTATTTGATGTATATATCGACGTCAACGATTACTTGTTTATCGACTATAGCGACACTCTTTCACATATAAATACAATGATACAATTAGCAGTTTCAAGGGCAAAAAGAGATCCACACTAATACATTTAGTGTTAAGGTGCTCATTCTTCCAAAGACTGGCTATCACAGCTCAAAGTGCCTTATTATCAGCATGAATGAGTCCGAGAGTTCCGGTAGAACCTACTTGTCCAATAAAGCCGCCCAATTCATCGGCCGCTTCATCACGGAGCACATGAGCGACACTTGTAAGAATGGGCTTCATCAGCATGTTGTAGCAGAGTAAACGACAAATTCACTAAGCGCAAGTGAGACACAGGCTTGACGCCGTGTCGAAGCATCAGCAGTCGAAAGTGCAGGAATATCAAAGCTAGCGTCTTCGACGCCTCATTTACTTTTTCATCACTGCATGTACGGTTCTAGAATGTAGTGCACTGAGCTGCTCGAGTCACATAGTTACTGACCCAGGACTCGAATTATCTTGAATGCGGCCTTTGCATCCAGCACAAATTTCGTAATCGCGGATGTCGAAGTTACACCTGCTTCGTGAAATATTTTGCAGCTCATATTTCTCAGACACTAGAACTGTCGTCGAGCACTGCAAGTCTGTAAAAAACTGCACTGACGCAACAAATGCACGAACTGAGGGCTTTACCATCGGCATGAAATACATTTGGTGCTCGTTGTTACCCCTTATCGTAATACCACCACTTTTCGGTTGACGTGCAGTCACTAGCAATTTTTGAACCACAGCAAGAGATCCTCCGATCTTTACAACGTGTTTTAACAAGCACATGAAGAATTACCACAATTGATCACTTTTCTGTATCAAGTTTTCGTCTACTCAACAACTTCAGCCCAAAATTATTGATACAATAGGGACATGTTTAATGTCATGGCGTAACAACAACATCATGGCAATTCAGATCAAATAATGTTGATACATACAGGCTAGTAAAGACCTTCTCTGTCGCCTTCTCGCTAACAATTTTAGTTTTCTCGTACACCTTTGATTTTGGGTGGACAGGCGCCAGGAGATTGGATTGGCAGCACATTTGTCTGGCACGCAACTCAAGCCAAGCGTCACAACGTTGCAAAGTTATGCCTAGGACAATTGACAACACTGCAAAGATGAGGACCGATCGACTTAGTTTACTTTGTAGTAAATATGTAGTTCTACAAATAGTTTGTACTTTGCCCTTTTCCGTTCCGCCTCGTCGTCGGCGGTTCGTTCGTCAAGCGCGACTTCCGGTCCAACAAAGCGAACTCCTCTAGAACGTGATTCCGTCCGTCTTGATTCATATCCGGAGCTGCATGTCAAGGGATCAGTCAGGCTGGCCCGTCTAAGAGAGCCGGTTTGGTACCCCCACCTGCCCCTTGCATGTGCTTGGGTTTGGTCAAGCGATCTCACTTACTCTTTTGGACTGTCCTCCGTGAACCCCGTCCGTTTTGAGCCAGCAAAAGAAGCTAATGGAGAGAAAAACGATGTAGTCATGGCAGAAGATCAGCCTTACAGACCGATTTCTGATAATCATAAGCATTTAAATAGACAGTTTGATCATCATCATAAAGATAAAAGGTTAGCACTATTTCGCCAACATATGCTGCTATAATAACGTCTGTTTAAACAAAAAAAGGATAGACAATGTCTTTGTACAAGTAATTAAACGTGGAAGAGGTCGTGGAAATAAACGTGCAGGACAAATCTTGTCGACATGTAGAATGTGGACAGGAACTCCTCCGGCTCTCGCTAGAGTCTGTCTGTTCCCGTCATGTAATCGTCGTAGAAGCATGTGATCTGCTCACTATACAAAAGTAAAGTAGTTTTAGCTACTCCCTATCTTTGATTTTATCATCAGCCAAATAATTGTTGTGCCAAGAGATTGGACAAGTGGATAGTATGGCTTTATAGAGGGACGCACGTCGCATAACGCAACGAGGCAACAAATACGCATATAGGTCGTCAAATGACTTTTACTGTAATACAATATGTATCTGTTCTTATAATGCGTATTACTCGCTCATTCGAAACAATATTAATTCTAGAAGGTAGTGTCTTCGATCTATGTACATGTGGTACTTTTTAAGTTTAGAGCGATAAAAACTGATCGGCTGGTGAGAGATCGTATATAAAATATTTTTGCCACTTTTTTGGCTTCATTTTGAAATTTCTCTCTCGAGTGAAGAATCGAATTCCTGTTTAAAAAGTCTCTCACCATGCGCATGCGCACATTTTTCGTCCTCGTATTGGTCACCGTATGCTCAAGCTGCGTTAATTTTGCCAATGCCAAGACTGAAGGCGGCATTCTAGCTGCTGATTTAACAGCTAAGTTAAAAAATACTTTCGGCGCAAGGTTCGCGGAGGTAAAAGAAGAAAATAATGTCCTTACAAAGGTTGCACAAGTCCATGAAAAGATGGATAACGCAGCTTTCACACATGTTGTGGAATTAGAAGCACCGAACAAACTCGTGCAAAAAATGATTGAAATGGATGCAAAGGGAACGTGGTCAAAGGAACATGCCGAAGCTCAGTTGCATCAATATCTAAAAAATATTGATGCGGCTGGATGGATGAAGGAGACTCCAGACGGATTGAGGCTGAGGAGAATTGCGGTCAAAGCGGCGGAGGTAGTGGCGGCGAAACCGTCCACGTGGTCTATTGTGTGGAAAACTATCAGAATTGTTGCGGGTGCATTAATAGCTGTACTTATTGCCGCGGCTCTGTATGGAATGACGTAATGAGTAGTAGAGATGGCTGGAACGGTGCAAGTGCTTGCATTATTGGTAGTATAATTGAAACTACATCTTTTCTTTCCCTTGGTTATTTTCTTTAGTTTAATGTCATTGTTCTGATCCAAGCAGCGGTGCAGCTTCGTGGCGAGTCTGTCAAGCAACGGTCAGATGACGACTCGTGGTCAATTCGGCGGCTGTGGTAGAAGTGTGGCAGCGCATCGCTGCTTGTTTATGGAATTCTTCATCCTGTGCTTGAGTAGCGGTACGCTAAGTCGTACCAAACTCTTCGTTATCGAGTTGAAAGCAAAAGATAAAGTTCTGTAGTCATCCCATAATGATGAGCTGTTGGCCGTGTCAACGAAGAAGAAACATAGGAAAGTTTTAACTTTGACCTGGAGCGGCGTTCTGTTCTCACTCAGACTCTGACAATCGTAAATGACACGCTCTTGGCCATCGAGGAGATGCACCCTTTGCGACGTATGACATCGTTCGCCCCTTCGATATCGCTTTGACCCGACCCGATTTATATGTGTTGATGAATTTGAGTAGAGAGAATTGCATTCGATGGCCATACGATGCATCCACACACAGCGCAAAGAATATCGAGGAGAGGAGGCTGTGTGCATTGTTTCAATATTTTTCTGCAGCTTTCTGGTGCCCTGAATAAATAAAGGCATGGACTCGGTCTACGATATGACGATGTACGGTGAATTAGTTGAAAAGAAGCAGCAAGCGTCGCAGCAGGATGTAAGCTTTACGAGATCTTGCTGGTAGCTGGCCTCGCAAGGGAAAGGTCGTCACTGCTGTGACTGCAATGTAAAGGCCAACGAGCACAAGAAAACTGTGAGCTATCTGAAGTGCCGTAGGTCTTGGAACGAAGAGCAAAGAGCGAAAAAGCGTAATACCAGGACGATTCCGTACTGCTTGTTCGATTCTAAGCGTGATGTGTCATGTTTTGTATCTCTTTCGTCAAACCAAAGATAGTTACTGTTTCCACTTCGATACCTGCTGCACGATCACTATGGACTGTGCGTCCGAGCCTGCAATGAGCGTGTCAGACTCAGCGTGAATTGCCAGAGCGTTCCATGGCTGCGACCCCGAGGTGAGCTGCTGGACGTGCAAGCCTCCAGGTCCCTTGGAAGCAGTACCAAGAGAGCCAAACGGGGCCAAATTCTGGCTGGCTGTTGAGCCACTATACCGCGCATACTCGACTGGATCGCAAGGGTTACGACCATGATGAAAGTCCCAGCACTTGACCACATTGTCATCGCCAGCCGTGTAAAGATATCGAGGCGACGAAGAATGCAGTTTCAGTGCTCGAATCGCGCGTTGGTGGCATGCCTCGGTTCGGAACGGTGCGTCAAGTTTGCGGCGATCCCAAAAGATCACACTACCATCGTCCGTTCCGGTGATCAGCAGTTCGGGCCGTGTTGGATGCGTCTCTAGCGTAGTCAAGATACTCCTTGAGTTTAGACTGAAAGTTTTGTCGTGCAAAGCAGCATGAGTATATTAGAGCACATCAAAGTCGTCAAAAACGCTGCTAGCGAACGTACTCAGCACAAGTCGTGACCGGAAACTTGTTGTTGGCTGTGAGGTCCCAAATTCGTAGCTGGCTTGCAGGAGTTAAGCTACAAAGCAAGTAAACATGTTATTGCGCACGAACAGTACTATCACAAACGATTACGTGATCACACCCAGTAGTAGCGACGACAGAATCGCGGCCTAGGAACTTCACTGCATTAATGGGAAGTCTGCTTGCATCCTTGTTTTCTGCACAGCATTTCAAGATGAATGTCACCACTACATGTCTTCATATTCCTTTGCATTTTGCTTACCGATTTTGTCGATACTCGCGTGGTCGTCCAGCTTCAGCCACGCCAGAGCTCCACCAGCGCTGACAGTCACAAGACACGTGCGATTCTCGCTAACCTCGACACAAGTAGCTGGAGTGCCAGCAAAGACTTTCTCCCACTGAGGCATAGCCACTACTGACAATGGTCCGACAGAGTCTCCATCCGTCATAGTAGCATCGTCAGTCCCAGACACGTGGTAAACGAAGACGCCGCCTGTGGACGACGCGCTAACCAGCAAATTTTCGTCTCGGGTGGACACGAACTGCAACGCGTTCACGTCTCCTTCGTGCTCTACTTCAGCCAATGTATCCAGCTCACATGGACGTGCCTCGTTACTCTCTCGTCTGGGCACAAGAAAGAGAGAGGAATAAAACGTCAGTCAGCAGTCTCTATAGCTACAAAACAATTTTCTAGCTAATTAACATACTTGAACTCCTTTTTCAGCTCTTGTTCATCACGTGTAGAAGTCACAGGTAAGTACAGTGTAACGTGGTTTGTCTATCGAGCGTCATTCCATTGGGAAAAGTTAGTGTCAATTTTACGAGGATTTTCGACATTTAGAGACACACTTCATTGTCCCAACCACCGGCTGCCACTATAGGAAGCATTTGATGCTCTATTCGAAGCGTATTAGACGTGTAGATATTCACATCGTTTACTAGACAAAGCGCATTGACCTTCTCGGCCACAAAGTGTCTCGATGCACAAGCGGTCATTGTATGGACTTGGATTTGTCTTTAATTATTAACTAACGACAGATGATCCTGTCTAAATGACTCCTTTGTAAAATAATAACCTTTTACTTCAATTAAAATGTATTGGTCCAACAAGCGACTAGCAATTATTTCATACCTGTCTTCAATGATAAACTCTATAAACTAAAGGACTGTCAATAACCTCGAAATATTAAGTTTGGCAGATTTCACTATATTCCGATTTCAAATAAGTACGGTAGAAGTGGGTAATATTATCCGGATAATCAATAAAAAGCATCATGTTATCCAAATGGCTCCACAAACGCTTTAAATCTGATTGTAAGTCCATTCACACCTCTAATCTCTACGACCTTCATCACTCCTTTTTCATCCTCTTCTCTACAATGCGGCGAACATCACGATTCCACAAAAAATACGCCCACATTGACTTGTCCATCGTCGCTGCGTCGACGTGGACACAATCACTCTGCCCTGGGAGCACGACGGCGTCGGCGATTGATGGTCTCAGACGCCTCGAGCAACCTCTTTGGCTTCTCTTCTTCCTCCTCATCCTCCTCGTCTTCCGAGCCGCTGCGGATGTCCTTCTCGACGTTGCCGTCACCTAGTGCCTTGATCACCATCTTGACGATCAGTATGCCCCAGTAGACGTGCAGCACAAGCAGCAAGCACAAGAAACCAAAACAGATGATCCACGCCCAGTACCACACAGATGCGTCAAGACCAGCAAAGCTACCTGCCTCAGTGATCGGCACGACAATATCGCGGTATGCGAATGCGTAGGCACTGTGCAAAACGTTGTACGAGTAAAAGAACCAGCGCAAAAAGAACCACACGAGTGCAAAGAGACCAAAGAAGACGTTGGCCACTGTCTCCCACTGTAAGTACACAAACACCTTGGCTGCAATTACACAACAAAGCACCATAGACGTCAGTCAATCAGCAATTGCATGCAGGAAAGGACGTTACAAACCTACCAGTCTCCAGTAACAGGTCGTTTACATCGTGGATCATAAGCACACTGAGACCCATTTTAGTGAGGTCGAAATAGTACGAGAAAACCATGAGTGAAATGGTGGCAAAGTGGTGCACGAGCATTTCAGCATTATCTTTGCGCTTGATCGTGTAATATTTGCTTGTAATGTTGAGCATAAAGTCAATGCTCTGGAGCCAAAAGCATAAATAGATCATATAGTACCAGCGCAGTTCCTCGCTTGCCACGTATGGAAAGCCTTTGAAATACTCCTCCTTATTAAGAAACCACGTCTCATTCCAGCCAACATAAAGGCCAAAAATATGGAAGACACCCACCGCTGCGTTCTTATAGAGCGACTCCCGCATCTTACCCTTCTTCTCATGGGTTAACCAGCCTTTACGTAGCATGTACTGGACTATCGGTCGAATAAACACCGTGTCAACAACGTAATGATACACATACAAACCAATCAAAGCAAAGACAAAGCGCTTGGCCTCGGCCATGGGGTCGCACTCGGTCAAATAGCACGGCATCGGTTGGTGAGAGGAATGAGTGGATGGAGATGATGGGCCTTTTACACTATGAACCTATCGGCGATAAGGTATCTTAGGTTGTGTACCACACACCATATATAATCACTCTGCTTTTTTACGAATGTTTCAAAAAAGGTACGTTTCCCGCACCGTACGATACAAATAATAATATTATGTGCACCACACTGAAATTGACGCACTAGCCATTGATTTGATCCGCTGTCATGTCGATCCACATGCGCTCCCAACTTCGTACGTGTCCTTTATGATCGTTTCTCTTCTTTCTTCTCCTTCTTCTTCTTCTTCTTCTTCTTCTTCTTCTTATACCTTCTGCCAGTATTCATTCGTCCGCAGTCGCTTCAGCTCGGTTCAAGCGCTGTGTCGGCGGGTAAGAAACTGCAGCGACGCTCCCAGACGCTTGGCCTGCGTGTTTCAGCACGATCTCCTCTTTGCAGGCCACATTCCGTTGTAGCAGGTGTTGCTTTGAGCACTTCCATGTCGTTGTTGCTCCATGAGTCGGCTCTGTGCCAGGGCACGATTACGCTCGCAGCTGCGGTGCGTGTCTGGAGATTGCGTCGTGGTGTGCCATTGATCTGATGTGTTTAATCTTTTCAACACAGGAGGGACCGACAGGCAGTGATGGCCCAAACAAAAAGAACAGTGATTCGGTGGAGAAGATCATTGATGTGGCACTGGGCAGCTGCGGTGAAGTCACGATGGCTGGCAGTCTGGGATTCTGTTCAGGTTACGCACTGAAGCAGGCGGGCAAGGCCGCGGCGATGGCGGTGGGTCTCATATTTGTCTTAGCACAAGCGGCAGCTTACAATGGGTATGTCGACATCAAGTGGGGAAAGGTGCAGAAGGACATGATCGGTAAGGTTGACCCCAACGGAGATGGCAAGTTTGACAGCCAAGATGTCAAGCTGTGGTATCAGAAACTGCTCAAGATTATAAAGACCAACCTGCCGTCGTCTACGGGCTTCACCAGTGGCTTCGCGCTCGGTATCTACTGTTCGTAGATGCGGTATCATAAGGCAACGCTTGTTGTATCACCTTATACAGACAGCCACATGGTGATGTGGCTGTTTGTGCCTAGGGTGAGCCAAGTAAAGCGGAATGCAATGCTATATTGCATCGCATTGATGGAGAATAATCCTCCGGCTAGAAATTCGACGATAATAGACGCTTATACCAATACTCTTTAACTCGCGCGAGAACACTGGCACCGCTGCTAGTTCCGTTGCTGATAAGGTTAAATCCCAAGGTGGCATACAATGATCTCTGCAACGTCTGCTTCGCGCTATCTGAGCAGGTCGAAAAGCAGTCCGTCATAGTTTCTTCCGTAGCCGAGTCTTCTGATCGTCGTCCCGCCACCTGAAGGTAGTGATGATACATGAAACATAACCATCAGGATTTACCGACCATCCAATGCTGTCCAGGACGGTATCGTTACGGAAATGGAAGTTGATGTATCGCCTTCATCTTGACCTTCCGTCTACACCATATCATTAAAACAAAAAAAGAAGACCGTATGAGTACCAACGTGTTCAAGGCATTACAAGAACGGAGGAGCAGGCCCTTCGACATACAAACTGTACGGAGGTTATAAGAATGAATTCAATCCTCATGCTATCAACTGCGTTGCCTTCAGCAAGGATAGTACCAGCCAACCAATAATTTTACTTCCAGAGTGGGCATCACCGTTGGCTATCTCTTATGCCCAAGCAGCCAGTCAATCAATACCCTTTTACAAAGCAGTCGTACCGTCGAGTTTTTTTCAATGTAAATCCTATACGCTTCATTTGCCCGCAATTGCGGCGTAAACAACTTCGTTATCCACTCGTATAATGACCATCCAAACCAAGAAATGATCCCCTATTTAGCCTACACGATCCAATGTAGAGTAACGTTGCAAACCCTTTGACGCACCTCCTCAGCGTAATCGAATTCGATTAGAGTTGCACGCCGTCACGCTCTAGCCATTCATGCAACACTGTCTCTTCCATAAACTCCAGTCGTTTTCTACTGACGTCTGTAGGATGCCGGCATCTTCGCTCGTCTTTGCTTGTCTTGCTACTGCGACCGTCGAAAATACGGACGGATAAGTGATGATGTGCATCCATACTCCGCCCTCTGTAAAGTCTAGAAACACATTTTACTGATAGTTACGCACTGCCGCTCTTGCACACATATAGCAGTTTGTATGCAAGAACGGCAGTCCAGAGACTAAAGAGCACCGCTTCTTATCCACCTTTAGCTTCGTAAAAGCCCATTTTCTCTTGTATAGCTGCTTAATGTGCTGGATCAATGACTAAACTAAGTCGTTGGTGTCGATGACCTTGCCCCTCGGACTTCTCTTTTGCCTGATGTTGAATTGGCGTGCTCGTGTCTTTGCTTGACGTGTGCGTTTATAAACAGGCAACAAGATGCGACGGACAAGCCAGCAGCTCAGCAACATTTGATCCAGCATTCACAATAGCTGACCCCACGCCATGAAATTTGAGCGCCTTTTTTGAGGACACGTAAGTGCGAGGACATTTGGTTCTTTCGATTGCCGGTGTACTTGGATACTTTTCGTGTCCTTGAACAATGTACTGCGTCGTTTGGAATGCAGCGACTGAAAGTTTTGTCGAGCCCCTCTCATTAAGCTTCGACAGCGTGTTTACCACGTCGTACGACAATTTACGCCGTCGGAGGAATTCATCCGTTTGATCGCTTGCTACTATGCATCGCATGCACCTCATTGATACAATGACCAGCAAGCAAAAGCTGCACGTGCTGGGCGATTTTATTCGTCGGTTACTAATGAATGTGCGTCAAAACATGCTGAGCTGCCAATTATTGTGAGGATGACGCTGCTGCCATGTTAAACGACTTGACGCGAGAGTCGGTGCTGCTGTTGCTTGATGTGACGCGCTGCAGATGGAACCTGTGGCAACACCATCAGTGGCGGCAATGAGTCGAAAGCTACGGTCGGCGCTACTGTCACGTCTTTCTATCGTGGAGTACACAGCTATACCCAGTTGCAGCAAGACGTTAAAAAAGACGAAGTTTAGCGACCTCGCACTACCGGCTTACGAGCTAGCGCGCGATGTCAAGTCTTTTGGTGTACGAAGCGCCACATGACGAAGCACCATCACTAAAGGGAACGCCGCTAATGATTTAACTTTCGTCCAACACGGTCTTAGACAACAACAACGGCAGATTGCCCAGGCGTATTTATATTATTTGGACAATAGGAGCAGGATGGCAGCGCCACTCGGCCGCAATTCGACACTCTACACAGCAGATGACCTAAAAAGTATCATAACCAACATAAACATACTACTCGAAATGAAGAAAGTCTGATAATAGCGGTCCATACTTAGCGGTAGTGACGAGTTCACGCAATATAAGCTCGGTCCGAAAAGTGAAGAGTTGTTACACTGTTGCCATCATCTTTTTAAGCAGATAATTTCAAAAGAAGCGCAAGAACGAGCAAGGCAATTGCGCCGCCGAAGAGCGGTTGCACAAGTAACAGCAATCCCGACGGCTTCCACGGTTCCTTTGCAATTTCCTCCGTCGTTGTTTTCGCGAGCTCCACATACTTCTTTCCATCAGGGGTCTTGAACCAAGGATCCTCCTGTATGTTCTTGAGATACTTTTCCAAGTGTGCGTTCAATTCATCCTTTGTCAAGCCATCCCCCATGTTTTCAAGGTTGGCCATTTCTTCTCTAAATTTCTTTTTGATTTCCTCTTCGTGCATTTTACGTGCAAGTCCTGTCTTTTCAATAGTTGCAAAGTGGGTTACAACTTGCTCAATTAGTACATCATCACCATGTTGCAATGCTTGTTCAATGGTCGTAATTAAACCAGTCGAGGGAATCGAATTGCCTTTGAGAAGATTAAAGCAGATTGAGGATAAGGTGGTCCCTATTAGAACGAGGCATGTGTGCAGGCGCATGATACGAGTTGTTTGGACAGGAAAAAAGTTTCTTGACTGGAACAATCTTTGTAAGAAAAAAATAGAAGTGCATGAGCCGATCAGATGCATTTTGTTTCGACTTGAAAAGTACCGAGGGTATAGATAGTCATTGACAATATTGTTCATACACTGCATAATATATGTCTGACAGTAGATGATGTCATGACGCATGTTTTTCGGGACACAGATAAACGCATCAATCGAGCTGTTTACGACCAGACATGGCGCGTTACCAAGTTCAGGTCAATGTGGTTTTTCTCGAAAATTGTTACAGAGTTCTCTTACAAGAATGACAGTGTATAACCTTTTCTTTGGACGGGAACGCTTTGAGATTGGGCGAGGCGGTTGAACGTGGACAGAGAGAGTAAGCACGAAGCTTAGACAACAGTTATCTATTGTTTTGTGCATCATTCCCTCGTACGCTATGCAGCGAATGAAAGAAGTGTCCATTCGCTAACTGTACCAACAGGGCCTCAATCTCACACCGCTTACCGGACGTCAGCCACGCTAATGAGAATTTCCCGGCCAAGGTCGTCTGATAACTTGTCACCGCTGATCACAACGACGCGGTCGCCCGAAGAGAGCCACCCCATTTTCTTGGCGTGAGCAATAGCCTCGGCAGTAGTCGGCGCCTGGTCAAGAGAGTCGGGGACGACTGGATACAGACCACGGTGGATCTGAAGCTGACGGCCGACCTTCATATCAGTGGTGAAGCACATGACCGGCACAGTGGGCTTGTACTTGGCGACCTTGCGGGCCGTGTAACCCGTGCGGGTCAGAACAATCATGAGTTGTGCGTGCATCTCGTTAGCAGTCTTGACAGCTGACGACACAGCAGACTCGACGTCCGAGGTCGGCGGGTCAAACTGGAACTTGGCACGGTAGGTCGGCTGCAACAGCAGCTCATCGGCCTCCTTGATCACCGTGTTCATGGTACTCACAGATTCGATCGGGTATTTGCCTTGAGCAGTCTCACCGCTGAGCATGACGCAGTCAGCACCGTCCAGGACGGCATTGCCGACATCCGAGACCTCAGCACGCGTGGGGCGAGGGTTGGTCTGCATAGACTCGAGCATCTGTGTGGCCACGATCACAGGCTTACCGACGGCATTGCACCGGTCTACCATCATTTTCTGGTAGGTCAGCACTTTCTGGACAGGCACTTCAACTCCCAGATCGCCACGTGCACACATGATTCCGTCTGAGGCGTCCAGAATCTCCTCAAAGTTCTGAACACCCTCCAAGTTCTCCACCTTGGAAATGATCTTTGGAGCGATGTAGTTTGGTTCGTGTGCCCAATGTTTCTTGACGCACTCATCCACGTACGAGCGGATCTCGTTCACGTCGCTAGCTTTACGAATAAAGGACGCTGCGATGAAATCAATGTCTTGCTTTACACCCCAGTCAAGATCGCGCTTGTCTTTTTCGGACAAGGCTGGAAGGTCTACAATCAGTCCAGGAAGGTTCACACCCTTGCGATTTCCAATCTCCTCGGTGTTTTCAATCTCGCACGTGATTTCCCCCTTACTGACAGCTGTGCACGTGAGTCGGATTAAACCATCCGACAACAACACCGTGTCACCAACTTTGACGGTCTCTGCAAGCTGCTTGTACGTAACATAAAACTTGTCAGCCGTGCCCGTGAGTTCAAACTTGGGGTCGGTTGTCAAGACCACCTGTTTACCCTTGCGAAGTGTAATTTTCTTGCTATCCAGCATCTTGCCCGTACGAATCTCGGGGCCCTTGGTGTCGTGCAATACGGCACGTAAATTAAAATTAGATTGGCCTTGGGCGTGTACGCCCTCACAGGCGCGAAGATTGTTGATTCGAACAAGTGCTTCGTCATACTCGGCATGAGAAAAGTTGATGCGCATGATGCGCAATCCTTCGTTTGTGAGCTGCTGGAGCATGTCGAGCTGATCGGACACGGGACCAATAGTAGCCACGATTTTAGTCATGGAAAACTTAGAACTGCGTGGATTCTTGTATAATTCCGACGTGGACGCAAAATTGCGAGTCGTCGTCGTCTTAATGGAACGGAAGGTCAGGCGACGCAACATGATGGAAGGATGTGTGGACAACGTGGAGACTTGGGGATTGGTGCTTGGAGTATTGGTGCTTGGGGTATTGGTGCTTGGGGGTACCCTCTCTATAGCGATGATTTTACGCCTTAAGTCTTTATTTGACGACAGCATTGTTGGTAAAAGGGATGTCATTTCAGGATGTTTTATTTTAATTATCAGTTGCTACTAGTTTGTAGGGACGACTCTCTTCTCATCTACAGCAGTGAGGCTACTTATACAAATCTACAGGTAATCTGTCGACGCGTGGCGATAAGTAAGTTTTGATATCGCCACGGTTACTTCATGGAAGGGATGTATATTTTGAAGCTAAACTTGATTGTCACCGGGTGTTCGACTCCGAGTAGTGCATAGCCATAGCCTGTGTAAACTCTTCTACTTTCCTTACGCGTAAACTTGTAATCAAGAGAGAAGTGTAGAGGATCACGAATTACGTCAGTGATGTGTGTGTCGTGAAAAGGACAACTTGCATGGACAGTGTTCTTCGAATGATCTGGATTGTGTGATCAGTTTATGAAGGGTTTATACATTTACTTTAGTAGTAGTTTAACTCTTAATACTACTTTTCATTTGGCAGCACAGTGAAGTAGTTGAGCTATCGTTACAGGTTATGAGCCCAAATACGTTGGCTCCTAATGACATCCTCACGGATGACAATTACTTCATGTGGGAATTTAATGCACGCATGACACTTGCGCGCAAGGATCTTTTGGATCACGTTTTTATTAAGCCAGAGCCGGCAGTGCTGCGGGAGATCCCCGGATGGAAAGTCGCCGATATGAAGGCTCTGGCTGTACTGGTGAAGCTACTCTCTCCAACCTATCAGTGCATGGTTCGGGAATGTGAGTCTGCGTTTGAAGCTTGGGAGGTTCTGAAGACGTTCTTTGCGAAGAAAAATCTTCACAACCGAGTGCAACTTCGGAAAGAATTACATGAATTTGTGATGGAGACTGGTGCGAGTCTTATGGACCATCTACTAAAATTTGATGAGCTGTGTCTCAAGCTCGGAGCTGCCGGTGACAGCATGGATGATGATGAAAAGCTAGTTTTGCTTTTGGGAAGTTTATCATCCGAATATGATGATATGGTGCGCATCATTGAGGCGCACAGCAACGTGACGCTGTTAGACGCAAAAGAGATGCTCCGCCGGGAGTATGACACTCTTCAGAAGCGAGACAAGAAGGAAACCGCTTTTAAGGCACACGCTCAACGTAATGAACCTCGACGCTTTCAAAGTAACCGAGGACACCGTGGTCAAGAAGAAAATCGAGATCGCTAGGAAAGGAAAAGCTTATGCGAGTTTTCAAGGCAAATGCTTTGCGTGTGGCCGGCATGGACACAAGAGATCGCAGTGTCGTAACGTGAAACCATCGAGACCTGGTGATGAATTCGTTTTTTCGGCATTCAGTGACGAACCAATTTCGAATTCAACTTGGTTGCTGGATAGTGGGGCAAGTCGTCATATGACTGATGACAAGCGTGAAATTGTGGAATACGAAGATTTAAGTACCCCAATTTACATCACTGTGGCAAATGGACATCAGTTGAAGGCGCAAGGAACAGGCAAAGTTCGATTTATACTCGAAAATGGTCGTACAGTCAAACTTACGGAGGTGTTATATGTGCCTGGGCTAGACAAGAAACTTGTGTCTGTAGCAGCGTTGACGGCCCGAGGCGTTCTTGTTCAGTTCAAGCGTGATCAAGCAGTTTTGATAAGTGACGACGTGACTGTAGCAGTAATTAAACGAGTGGGAAAGCTGTTTGCGTGGAATGTAAAACAACATATCACGTTAAAGGCACACAAGGCTGAGAGCAGTGGTGCGATAAATGACACTAGTGGACTGTGGCATGCTCGCCTCGGTCATGTGTCTACGAAAAAGATTATGCAAGCGATGAAGTCTTGCGATGGTATTTCGAGAGTTGTCGCATCTGATGGCGGTGTATGTGATGGATGTGCACGCGGAAAAATGACAAACAGCCCGTTCAGTCATACTTCAGGAAGTGAAGTTAAAACAAGTCTACCACTTGAGGTTGTACACACCGATCTTATGGGACCTATGAACCCGAAGTCGAAAGGTGGGGCTCTATATGTACTCACATTTATCGACGACTACAGTCGATTTGTCTACGTATATTGCTAGCAGCAAAGTCCCAAGTTTTTGAGCGATTTAAGGCGTTTCGTGCTATGGTGGAGAAGCAAACGGATTGCAAGATTAAATGCATCCGTAGTGAAAATGGTGGAGAGTATACGAATCATCGCTTTAACAAGTACTGTGCAGATCTAGGGATTATCCACCAGAGGAGCGTGCCGTACAATCCTCAACAAAACGGCTTAGCAGAAAGGATGAATCGAACTCTTGTTGAGATGGCCCGATCAATGATATATCACATGGAAGTTGATCGTTCTTGGTGGGGTGAGGCGATTATGGCGGCTGCTTACACCATAAATCGAATATCTAATACTGCGCGACCCAACGTTAGTCCATTTGAAACTCTGTATGGGTCGAAGCCAGACTTAAGTCATTTCCGTGTCTTTGGTTCGACTGGTTATCTACGAGTCGCGGATTGCAAGCGCACTAAATGGGACAGCAAGGCAAAAAAGTGTATTTTTCTCGGGTATTCGGAAAATTCAAAGGCGTACCGAGTGTGGGATATTGCGAGAGGACAATTGGTTACGACTAGGTCCGTTACGCTAAACGAGAGTCCTCCTTCGCGGTACAAAGATGTTGTTGTTTTAGGTGAACCTTTAGCTCAATGCAATCATTATCATGATGATTTAGACGAAGTAAAGGTGGAAGTACCTGATTTGAACAAGAATAACGAGGATGACGAAATGGACGTTGATGAAACTGCTGACAATGATACTAGTTGGGAAGACATGGTTGTGGATACGTCTGGAGATCTCAATCAGTCACAAAACTTAGATGTTGTTCCGATTGAGAGGGAGCGCACAGACATACAAGTCATTGACACAAACAATTCGATGATACGTCGTACTTCACACGGATCGGTCGCTGGAAGTAGCAATAATGGTACACACATGCTCTCAGGAATACCTGATCAGTCGCGAGCTATTATAGTTTGTGAGAATTCCCGTGCCCCAGATGATCGAATGGAGATATACTCAGGGTCGAACAAAAGACCTTATAGTACATTCACGTCATCTCGTCTACTCACGAATGATGATTTTGACGATGAGAGGATTGATCTACCGCTTTTAACTGATGGATCACCTGTCGATGGCGAAAATGATGAGCCGGACCCTAAACGTCAATGTGTTGACGATTACGAAATATCGCTTTCTGCTACTGATGTACCAATGAATTTACGAGAGGCGTTACAGTCGATGGACGCAGAAAAATGGAAGGCAGCAATTCAAGCAGAAATTAATGCTCATCTTAAGAACCACACATGGGATGCTGTCAATCGTCCTCCAGGTGTCAAGGTCATTGGTCACAAGTGGGTATTTGGTTACAAGTACGATGAAAACGGTCAAATTGTTCGTTACAAAGCACGCTTGGTTGCCCTCGGATATCTGCAAACGCATGGTTTTGATTACTTCGACACATATTCACCTGTAGCATGCTCAAGCACGATTCGTGTATTTTTGTCTGTTTGTTGCAGTATGCAATATGTAATTCGACAATTTGACGTGGAAACGGCGTTTTTGAATGGTGATTTGGAAGAAGACGTTTACATGGAGGCACCATATGGAATTGAAATTGCACCTGGAATGGTGTGCAAATTACGACGCAGCTTATATGGATTAAAACAAGCGGCTGCGGTTTGGCTAAAGAAAATATGCTCTGTGTTTTCGGCCATGGGCTTCGAACAATGTCGAGCAGACACATGTCTTTTTGTTCGACGCAATAATGCAAAAAATAAGTCACCCACATACATAGTCTTGTATGTGGACGACCTCCTTATTGGATGAAAGTCAGATGCAGAGGCGGACACGATTTATAAGGAATTGTCAGAACATTTTACTGTCAAGTCACTTGGAGCTGCGCGGTTTATTTTGGGCATGGAAGTTAACTACTCACAAGAAAAGGGGGAGTTGGTGTTGAAACAGTCCCAATTTATTATGAAGGTGGTCTCGAAGTTTAAGCAAAATGAAGCTTATGCAGTTCGCAACCCTATCTGCGCAGGACAGGACCTAACTCCGGATGAATCACACCCAGTGGTTAAAGACATTACTTCGTATCGCAAATTGGTCGGCTCGCTGCTGTATATTGCGAATGCAACGCGACCGGACATAAGCTACGCGATGTCAGTATTATCGCAGTACTTGGACCAGCCACGACAGATGCACTGGCGAGCGGCTTTACGTGTTTTACACTATCTCATGGGAACAAAATCGCACGGAATTAAGTATAACAAATGGGACGACAAAAAGATGATGCTTTGGGCATACTGTGACGCGAATTGGGGAAATGATAAGAAAACTCGTCGATCTACGTCTGGAGTGTTGATTTTACTCGGAGGTGCAGCTGTCGTATACAAAAGCAAACGCCAAAGTTCGGTGGCTTTATCCTCTGCTGAAGCGGAATATACGGCACTGGCACTAGCTACGCAAGAAGTTATGTGGATTCGTTATTTGCTGAAAGAGATGGGTGTCACATGTAAGACTGCGACTACAGTGCACATGGACAACAAGTCGGCTATAAGTATTGAGACGAATCAGGGATATACTCCAAGAGCTAAGCACATTGACCTTAGGATGCATTTTGTTCAAGACCACATTGAGCAAGGTGATATCCAGCTCAAACATGTTCCGTCAGCTATGCAACTTGCTGCTTACCTGACGAAGCCGCTTGGTGCTCCACAATTGATGCGACTACGCGATGAAACTGGAATTCGCGAGAGTGCAAGTTGAAGGGGAGTGTAGAGGATCACGAATTACGTCAGTGATGTGTGTGTCGTGAAAAGGACAACTTGCATGGACAGTGTTCTTCGAATGATCTGGATTGTGTGATCAGTTTATGAAGGGTTTATACATTTACTTTAGTTGTAGTTTAACTCTTAATACTACTTTTCATTTGGCAGCACAGTGAAGTAGTTGAGCTATCGTTACAAGAAGCAACACCATTCACTGGATCGCACATCGGACCCCATTTGAGTAGATCGATATGAAGATGTTGTGTACTTGATGATAGTATGAGCAGACTGAAAAAGTAGAACGAAGTCAACCGAGTAGCTTGTGAGCTTTCGGAGTCTCTATTGAGTACATAATGTGATACAGTAGCCTATTTACGTTCACAGGTCAGTAAAGTTTTGGTCCCACCGCGTGACTAGATCTAGTGAAGTGTTAGGCAATACTGTTGAGTGTGAAGTGTTCAGTTAGATTCAGGAAATCTTGACAAACATGAGTGTGATGATGAAGAGCATTTAACTCAATCTCTTCCGACTTGTGTTGTCCCTAGTGCTGTGCATGTACAAGTACACACTAAATCTTAGCCAGCTCCTCATCAAGTAAATAAATGATGATACACCAAACCTATAAAGACTTCACCTCATATTTCGTAAACTCATTGCAACATTGTAGGTAGGTGATCTTCCGTCGCTCTTGAATACGGTGCAATTGGCTGTAAAATGCACTGAGCCAGGACATCATTATCACACTTACTCGACTGATATTGGCTACACTGTGTAGATACGATACATGCTGATTCGGCGAGTAAACTACTGATGGTCAAATGAGCGGAAGTAGCTGCTGGCCGTTTTGAAGACAATAATCTTTAAGGAGCTGCTTTACTCTTGCTGAGTGCACCCTTTCAAAGTGGTCAAGTTAAAACGTATACGGGCTAGTTCAGAAGGCTGGGAAGGCTACACACTAGGAGAGTCGATGTCCAATGTTTCAGATTTGCAGCTTTGGCAAATTCAACAGCGTTTGGATCACCAACTGTTCCTGTAAAATAGAGTGAGCTGGATTTAAAGGCAAACTCGCGCTACTCGCCGACCGCTGTATGAACGTCATGCAGCTGATTCTTGATGCGATTGAGGCAGTTTTCCGGGACTCATCAGCTTCGTATAAATTGGTTCATCAACGATAGTTTCATCATCACGTTGGTCGTTCTGGCACTCGAGCTGCCATCCACGTCGACGTTTGACGATGACTCGTCGTCATATTGACTACTATCAGGTACGACATTGTCTACGTGCGCACTTCAAGGCTCGGCAACAGCATGGATGAGGACGGTAAGCATGTATAATGCGATAGCCATGAGTGCGAAGGTGCGATGGCGGCTTGTTATCGTCGATTAATGCTCCTTTTAGTCG